ATAGCGGTAGCTCAAATAAAAGGGCTGTGGCATCCTTAAACAATCCTTTTTGTTTTCCAGAAACAAAAGGGCGGTACAGTTATGTTCTATAAATATGAAGTAATATGCTATCGCTCTTCTCCACTGCATCACTGACAAGCAGCTATTGCTAGTAAACCCTAAATTTCTATCGCATTATAGTATATATTTGAAGCAAAACGGTTTACCTTAAATGGAGTCGTAAGTATTGTGATATACATATATACATACATATCTAGGCTATGTATAAAGCATTTTTGCAGACCTCCCACCGCACTCGAAATGAAAAAAGGAGCACCTCAACAATTCATACGTGTTCTTATCATGGAAAAGAACATGATTTCGAGACGTAGAGAATATTTTTAGAAACTTCTAAATCCCGAGCAAGCGCAAGTAGAGTCGCCTGAAGAGAGTAATGAAACATATTAATTTTCGAATAGATGAAGTCATATAAGTTGTAAAACTAGGCTGTTGGCTTCTTTAAAATTCGCGTTGCGATGCCTATGGCTTCAAGCGGACAAGATATGTTGCAGTAACATGTTTTATCAAATTGCAATGAATAAGGAGGAGGAAGATACAAATAAACTGAAGAAGCGGCGCTGTAGTAGCCTTGTTCAAGAACGGATAATCAAAGAGAGTACATCAATTATAACAGCATTACCTCAACGAGTCCCCAGAAAAATTGACGCAAATGTGTTGTAAAAGAGGTTAAACGGAATAGCCGAATTCAAGAAGAACAGCGTGGCTTTTCAAGAATTCAAGAAGAACAGGTCGAAAAACCTGAACGTATCATCGGCCTACGCTAGATTGTTGCGTAATCGTAAGAGTTCGCTAATCCAGTTTAAATGTGCTTTGTAGACGTGCGGAAAACCTATGATCAGAGTCTGGACAAATTAACGGGCATGCCTGCAGAAATATGAGATCGGCGGCCCATTGTTATGCGCAGTTCAATTATTATCTGCTGATAGAAGCAGCAGCGGCAGAGTAAATAGCATTAATTCAAGACCTATCTACCTCAGCACTAACCTCTGCCAAGGGTGCGTTCTGTCAACGCTCCTGTTTGTGCTATACATGGATAGGACAGTGAAGCGCAGTCACGTTGACAAAGGTATAACAGAAGGAGCGGTCGAAAGGAGAAATTTGCTATTTGCTGACAAGCCTATGTTTTGCTAGCATCGTCCAAAACTGATCTCCTACACTCTCGGGAAAGGTTTGCTGCTGATTGCGATGTAGCCTGCACGCGTCTGAACGTGTTTAAAACTAAATTCTCTATCATTCCCTTGTCCCCTGCGTTCTGCAGATAATCGGAGAAACAGTGGATCAGGCGGAAATTCAAGTAACTCGGGGTGGCGCTTACTGATGATAGAAAATTGAGACGAAGAGATCGACCGGAGAATTGGAATGTCCAGTGGCATTCTTCTGAACTATGCTGAACCATCGTGACTAAGGTAGACTTCAGCATGAGGAAAAGGCTATCTGTGTTAAAGTGAGCCTTCATCATTGTGCTCAAATACGGTCATCAATCAAGGACCATATCTGAAAGACAGCAATCCCGGGCGCGGTAAGAAAACTTTCAAGCAGGCTACGGCTTGACGCTGTTATACAACCTCCCTGCAGTGCATGATGCAAAACAGTCGTTTTATTGAGTCGAACAAAATTATGTTCGAACACAATAATGAACCTGCAGGTATTTATATACAACATATCTCTCGATTTACGAACTTTTGACTCGAATTCACAACGTATCATGTAAATTTATACTTACAGATATTTACTTTACAAGGAAGAAACAATCTTCGCAGAAAATGCGACAATGACTCTCTTCGCTTAACCTCCCAGCTGCATTTGCTTTGCTGCATTGCTTTAAGTCGTTTGTATAAGCAGAAAATGTCTATTTTGTAGCTCTGAATGCCGCATTCGAAAATTTTCAGTTCTTTGGTGCTCTACAGCACCGGCTACTTCATCTAACCTTATGACTATTACGCGTACAGTAATTAAGGTTCTAGAAAATACAGCGGTTTATTTTTGGTTAAGTTCTGATGTCGATACAGCAACTGAATACTGCATCTTACAGCATTCGAACACAGTATCTGTTAACAGCTGTGCAACGTACACGTATGATTTAACACTTCAGTTGTATTTTACACGACAGATAGGAATCGATCATAAGTATCTTGAAAAATAACAATGTTCATATTTTTACTACCGTACCACTTGCAACTCACGTGGCAAAAACATTCTGCGCTATTTTTAAGAGTGGAAGGGGGCAAAATTTTTAAAATTGAGATTAATGAAAAATTCATCAGATAAACGGAGTAGCGGTGGAGTAGGTGGAGAATTTCAACTACCTCAAAATCGTGCTGACTGGTGACGGAAAATCTCAGGCAGAGATTGATCGGTGAATTGGAGTAGTCGGTGGCGTTCTGCGTGAACTTGCCCGATCCACTGTGAGTAAAGCAAAGCTCAGTCTGAAAACTAAGCTCTCCGTGTTCAAGTCGATCTTTATCCCCATGTTTACCTACGGTCATGAGTCGAGGACAATGACTGAAAACCTGCTGAAATGGGATTTTTAGACGAGTCGCTGGCCTTACGCGTCTCGACATGGTCCGAAACACAGACACCCGAAAAACCCTTGGTGCACAGCCTTCCATAACGAGAAGCCACAGCTACGACGGTTTGAGCGTGAGCTGAAATGCCTCCAGAGAGGAAGGCGAAGCAACTACCTCTTACCCAGCCGACCGGCAGTAGGCTCAGAAGACAGGCAAGAATAACCTGGAACAAATATATCTGCTCTAGACTCCAGCTGTCTTTTGCCGAAGCTCAGACGCTGGCACACGAGAGGGAATATGGAAGCAATGTCTGGCACACTGTCTCCGCTACCCGAAAGGACAGGCGGGCATCGAAATTGACTGGTTAATGGAAAATTCATTTTCGATTTACAAATTTTCACTTTATGAACAGATATGCTGGAACGAACTCCGCCATTGCCGGTCCCAAGCCCGGATGAGAAAGGAGGAGGGTTGGAGACGTAGCAAGTCTCCGTAAAATTCAGCCACCTGCCACTCATGGTATTGACGCCATCGAAAATTATACCGGC